TCCCGTGAGCTCCGTCACCCCAAATGACTTGCGACTCACATTTTGGCACGCCATTACTTCTCGCTCTCCCAGTTCATGCTTCGTTTCCTCCTTCACTCTGGAGCACTAGAATGAATGGCAACCAAGGCAAAAAAACAAACAAACAAACAAAAAAAACAAAACCAAACCATCAGGGCAGGTAGATACCATCACTTCTGCAGCACACGTCCACACCTACTTCGGTGCTACAGCCCCGCTACGTGCTCAGGTACCTAACGGGTGGCAGAGTGCCCGTGATGGGGCCAGCGAGGCGCCGAGAGCACAAGAGTATCTGCACCTGGAAAAGCCCAGATTAAAGCATCGCCCGGCTGAGAGAAGGACAAACACCTGCAGGGAGTGCCCGACAGAGACAATTCCCTTTGGCCTTAGCAATAGCATTACAGGGATGGGGGGAAAGGACCAAAGGAAACCAATGCTTCCTAAAAACATCCTCGGATGCCCAGGATGGTAACAGACATTTCCAGGCTGATCATCACTGGAGCAGACTGCGCCTTTCAGCTCTGCATCTCAGCGCATCGGTGTTTCAGAGACGGGCCCCGTTCTGCCTGCCCCGGGTGCCCGGCTGACTCTCCCGTGAGCCTGCGTGCACCAGCTCCCGCCTCCCTGTGGGTCTTCCCGCATCCACGGAGCGCGACAAACCGCCGCGGGATGCTCTGGGACGTGCTCTCTGCCTCGACACGAGCGCCGAGGGCCACCGAGTGCCACCAGGCGCCCAGCAGGGTGCTTCCCCCGGACGCCTGGTCCCCCTCCCACACCCGGCGGCTCCAGTGCTCACGCGTGTCTCCTTTCCACCGGGTCAAGGGCCGATCCACATCCTTCAGCTCCAGAGAGCTGCTCGGGGAGGATGCTCAGCCAGGTCCAGGCTGGCAGGCGCCGTGACCCCTGCCTGCACCCCAGGGGCCCCACGTATCTTTCCCAGCATTTAAAATTCACAGTGATTCACTCAAATCTCCCGGCACAGCGCCTAGTCAGCCAGCCAACACGCAGCGCCCGCTCTATGCTTCTTACGCAGACGATGCAGCTCTGCCGGTGGAGGAGGGAGCCGCAAATACAGAGAAACAGGCTGCTGCGCGGGCCGCTTCCTTTAAGGGAAAAACCAGGCTGGGCTGCAGGGAGCCACGTGAAGACGGGGTTTCCACGGCTCCTCGGGAGGATCTTGGCACGGGCGCTTTGCCCGTACAAACGGCTACTGTGCTCACCAAAATCCAGGGCACACAGTACCTGACTGCAGACCAAGGAGGGGGATTCAGCCGGGGAAGGCGACACCGCTCCTCGGGCATCGCACGGCCCCGCGACAACACCGCAGCCCTGTCGCTGCTGCGTCCCGGTGGTACAGCTCTGCACCTTCTCTTTGCACGCAGCCAGGACCCTCAGGTTACCGCTGCTCCGATAAACAGCCACACAAATATACCCTCTCCTTACCAGGGAGAAACACGCCCCTTCTCATCCTCGTTTCCCACGCTAACCCGTATGCGAGACCGTAAATTACTGAGCCCCTCGGGAGGGACGTTAACCTTGGCAGAAACGACTGCTAGCTGATTGTCCTTTTCTCTGTTTTCCTTCTTCATTTTCTCAACTTCTTGCTCGAGTTGCTGGATTTTCTGCTCCTTCCCGGCCACCTCTCTTTGCAGGCTGGTCACGAGACCTGAGAAAACCAACTCCGGTGAGAGGCCACCCAAGCGCCTCCCTGCAAAAGCCCTCTAGCCGCCGAGCGGCCAGCCTCCCTCTTCGACAGCCGCCAGACTCGGACGGCGGATTCAGCTTTTGGCACGCCGCGCCGGCCATCGCTCCGTGACAACATCGCTAGCAGGTTCCTTGGCGCCTCGCAGCACAAGCTCCCCGGAGGACGAGCAGCTCTTACGGAGCCGTTTTTGCTGCCTTACTACATCAGATCCACAGCTCTGATGCCTCCTCCCTGCCAAGCACCGATACCGCTCCCTTATCTCGGGCAATGAAATCGAGCAGAACGCTTTCGCTACTCCGAATGCATTACGAAAGCCGACGTTTTGTGCACACGCTGCATTCCTCGTGCCCGATAAAGGCCACTGGAAAAGGCTTGCGGTCCGAGGTGGCCTTTGCGGCCAGGCGCCGCCCCGCAGCCCCTGGGGCGGGCAGGTCTCCCCCGTGGGGTGCACGGCAGCCCCTTCAACACGCACCGCTGCCCTGCAGCTCAGGGCCCGCCCTGCAATCCGCACTTCAGGCTTTTATCCCCTAACACAGTTCTCTGTCCCATCGCTCCCTGCCTTCGGTCCCCACACTGTCCCTCGCTCCAGGGACGCTCGTCATGTCAGAGACGGCCTGCATCTCCCGCAGAGCTTCAGGACACAGACTCAGAGGTAGGACGACTTCTACGAGCCGCTACAATTCCTTTGTTGCCCAGACAGTTCGGCCACCGCTCGGTCAGTACCAAGAGCCACTCCCAAACCGCTTCGTGCCCCTCCACGGAGCTCCAGGCATACCGTACCTGCAGCCAAAGCCCGGGCCCTCTTCAACTTCTCGCCTTCTTGTCGCAGCCTTCCAATCTCCAGGTCTCTTTCGTAGAGGGAATGGCTGAAAACCTGGCTCGAGCCTTTCTGCAAGTTGCTGATCTGCAAAACACAGATTCACCGGCGGTGCTCGCCGGATCACTTCTTACCACTACTACAGCCCCCTTCCGAGAGGGAAATCTGGCGCCTCCAGGCCACGCTCTGATGGGGTTACTCTTCAGCGTCTCTGACTAACTCTCAGCAGTCATTGCTTCGGACAGGATCATCTTTAATTCGTTTTGGCCGTTCACACGCCACACCTAATATTAAAGGCACGGAGAAGCCCTGGCTCCCGCTCCCTGCCACGCCGGGAATCCACGGCTGGGCGACACTGCTAACGCGGCGCCAGGCAGAAACGCCTGCAGACTTAGCGCCTTCTCAGGGCATGTGTATTTATTACCACGCATGCAGATCCGGAGCCCCCGATAACTCCTGTTCGCGTTTCTGCAGCACAGACAGGTTTTGCAGTCCCTACTGGAAATCGGGAGTGGGGAATAGCCTGTGCTGTCCGCTTGGGCGTATCATCGCCACACAGACAGCTCAGATACGCTTCCTACCGCTCAAATGACCGGTTTCACGACGCAATTACTGGACGGTATAGAGGAGCGCATCCACAGGTGGAAGAGGCTTTTCTCGGAGAAGGGAAAGCCGCCGGGAAGACAGGCGCCGCGCATCGTCTCATCTCGGCACAGTAACAGCAGCGGTGCTGACAGCACCCCAAAATCGTATCGCCTTTTCTCCACCAGGAACCTGCCTCTCGTGAGCTCCCCTTCACGACAGACCGTCAGGACGAGCACCAAGCATTTCACAGCCTCCCTCAGACCCAGTGTGATACGGGAGGGCAGGGTGCAGCCGGGACAGGCTGGCGAAAACGCCCGGCTGCTGACCTGCGCGCCTCGCATCGGGCCAACACCTTGGACTGACCCTTGTGCCACACTGGAGATACTCGGGCTGACTCCATCACTGTCTCTCCAGGACGTTTTCTGAGCTCTCGTAAAATGGGGGGTGCGTGCTATTAACGTCTCCCCAGACACGACACCTATCAGCCCTCTCTGCTCTGCCCAGCCGCCTATTTTCACCGGGATGCCAAGGGGCTGGCGCTGCCTTTGGGACGGGTATTCCCCCGGCAAACGCGACTGCCCGGTCCCTTCCTGGGGCACGAGGGGCGAGGGGGAAGCGAGGGCTCCGGCTGCCCGGCCCGAGGGGGTCCTGCGAGCCTTTCCCCCACCACAGGCTGCTTGGGCTTCTGTTTCCCTCCCCGCTGCAGCATTACAGCTCCTACCACGTACACAGGATATTTATTTACCAGCTTCTTGAAGGGAAACTTGCACAGAAAGCAAGCAACTGTGCAACTCAAAACAACTGGGGGAAAAAAAAAAAAACGCCTCCTTCCCCTTGGTTTCAGACGTGCAACCTGCTTCTCCTAAACACTGGGTGTTGAACTACAAGTTCATCTGTGCATCCGAGAGGCATTTTCCCTGCTCGGTGCCTATCGAAGCATTCCATACCTGTTCCCTCAAGACTTTGATCTCCTCCGTTTTGGCTCCCAGCTCTCGGTCAAAGGTGAGCAGCTTCTGAGTCAGCTCTACCTCGTTCCTCGCCGCCGCCTGAGCCAGGGTCTTTGCCATCGCCGCAATCTCATCCTGCAGAGCTCTTATCACTGCATCTTTCTGCTTCGATTCTGTTTCCAATCCAGAAAGGCGACCGATTTCCTTCGCCAGTCGCAGAAGCTTTTCACCCTGCGGGCAGATTACGGGTGCCATCTGACACTCTCCGGCTATGGAGACGCCAGGCTGCCTGCTCCGGGGGTACTGACTCGTGGCCATCGACCGCGCGGAGCAGCTTGCCCTGGCCTTCCCCCGTCCCACCGTGCCCGTCTCCTCCGTCCACCCAGCAGTCCCCACCCACGGGAGCAGTCCCCCTCGGTGACCGTCTCTGCACCCCGCTGGGCCTCGCGGTCGGACACACACCCGTTTGGCAGGGTTTGCCTGCTCTGCCAGCGACCAGGACAGGGATGGCGTCCCTCACACCTTCCCCAGCATCACCTTCTCCTGCGGGAGAACATCCGCGTCGCGAGTCCCCGGGGAAGGGGCTCCCCCCACGCCGCTCCCAGCGTCGCCTGAGACGCTGCTCGAGACTGGAAGGAAGCAAACACGGCGGCAGCAAACGTCAGCATGAGCACTGGTTGGAGGCAGCAGCAACGCTTCTTGCGGCAGCCCTCTCACTTCGTCTCCAAACTACTCTAAGGCAGCGGCTACTTTGCAGTCCACGAGCCTGGCTCCCAACCAGATGAGAAACCAACTCCTTGGCCCTAAAAAGACACCGGTGCAAACAGCCTGCACAACAGAGGGGAGTAATACACCTCTGGGAGCCAAAAAAGCCTCAAGGGCAGCAGAGACACAGCAGGCAAAGGCTCCGCTGGTTTTCCAGCATGGCCCAGCCCCACAGAAAGAAGCTATGCTTTCGCGGCTTCCCACATGTGAAGAGCTACGCTCACCGCTATGAGCGCGTGCAGATCCTTTTGGGTCTATTTCCCAACAATCCGACGAGCACGGGCTACCCTGGAGCGCGTGCGTCCCTCCCTTTACCTTCACTGCGATTTCAAGTCCTGCCCGTGCTCGCGCCTTTCAGCGATGCTGCTGGGACTGCACGGTGCTGCCTCTGCCCTGGAGCACCGGCTGTACTTCGGCGCCTCACTATTGCCTTTGTATTGCTTATGACTGCTCAAACGACCCAGCCCCAAAAATCCGGGGGTTGCTGGAAAGCAACCGGATTGTGTAACAGGCCAGAACGAGTTACGCTCATGGCAACCGTCTCCTCCTCCACCTGTACTCGTCCCCCAAAGCCTTGCCTCTGCTCCACTGCTACTGCGTGTTTTTTTTCCAGAAGTACATCGGCTATGAACCTAGTTTACAGTTCCTGCGCTCGAGGCAGCCAGTAACTGCACTTCAAAGGAGGAAAAAACATCACTTCAAACAGGAGACGGGAATAGGTGCGTGAGTCACCGGCACAGATACAGTCATCACCCTTCCCCATCACAGACAAGGAAGAAGGAAGAGGAAACGTCACTCTCGCCTACAAGGGCACCGGCATTCCCCTTGGTATGTCACGGCCCATTTCTTAAATGACCCACACGCCGCCGAGGACCACAGACGGTCTCCGATTAGCTCCGCTGGACGCGGACTCACGCCCAATTGCCGCTGACGCTCGTCACTTCTCTAACCTGCCTCCGCTTGGATCAGCTCCGCTCGACGCTAAGTCGCTCAGAGAGGACCTCAGGCTACGAACCACCGCGCTGGGCATCGGGGAGTACCTGGCCTCACCGCGGAGGTCCTACTGCAAGCGTCCGGCGGGACGGCGGTGGCCACGCTCCTGACCCAGGCACTCACGGGTCGCTTCCGCGGTGGCGGATGGGGCACGTGGCCGGCTGCTCCGGGAGCCCGGCTGCCGGGAGAGCCGGCGGGGAGCCGTGCTGCCCCTGCAGCAAGGGGAGGTGGGGAGGAGATGCAGGAGCTGGAGGTTTGGGCTCTGCAACCACCTGGAGCTGCCCGGTCCACGCTGTGCAACGTTTCACGGGGGGATAGGACATCTGCGGTGGGAAAAGACCACGCTATCAGCAGGAGTTTAGCAAGGCTTTTAGCCCCCGAGGTGTGCACGTTAGGTCGTACAAAACCCAGGTGCAGACCTGAGCAGAAGCAGAATTTTAGTCCTTTCCCATTTCCCTTGCCCAAGTCTCACATTTCAGTCAGGAATCCCAAATCTTTTGCGGAAATCAAAAGAAACCATTGGAGCTTGCTGCTTTTTGGACCTCTTCCCTCTCTCTCGAGATTTGACTACCCTAATTCTGCACGTCGTTTGCCGAATCCGGAAGCCCTCGGTTCACGCCTCTCCCCGCTCACACACAAGGGGTCCCACCCTGTCGTTTCCTCCCACTCACCACACTGACCCAAAGCCACGCAGGGCGCTCCTGGCTGGCCACCGCGTTTATCTGACCCTACGCTGGGCCTGTCAGGCATGTCGCTACTTAGGACCTTATCTGCTATTCTCCTTACGAGCAGAGCTTTCCAGTACGGTAGAGAAGCCACAAAGTGCCGTATGTCGGCTTACGCGTAGCCCTCCCTTGAACTAAAGGGCTGAACCAAACGGAACTGAGCATCTGCCAACGTGGTCTCGGACCTGGCCTGGATGCAGACCTCCGACACCCGGCCGTTATCCTGGCATCTTCCTGAAAGAGAGCCAAAGAGCCCGGCGCACGTTCCCCGCCGCTCCAGCGCCTTGCCTTCTCCCAGAGCACATCCGAGCCCCCTCGCTTTTGCTAACGATGCTACCCTGGGCGCCTGCTCACGGCTGGATTCCACCATAGCATGACGCTGTCCCTTTCGGGGCACTTGTCCTCTGCCCGCAGGCACCGCAGGGATGCGACTCCTAGCTGGGCGTTGCTCCTCTTGTCAACACGATCCTCTAATACTACTGAAAACAAAAGAGATCTCCCTGTATTAGAGACCATAGACACTTCAGAGGGTGCAAGGCAGAGGTGATTTACTCTCTGCAGTCAGCAGGGTCAGCCTTCACAGCTGTTCCACCAAAGGAGGATCACAGAGCAACTAAGAGGCACCCACAGGGCTTCCTCTGCGTCACGGTGCAAGACTGCTTTCCGGGCGCATCCTACACATACACTTTTGGCAATTACCACCACTGATGCTTCCAGCGACAACAACTTCACCTACCCTGCACCGGCACCCCAGCTGCTCCGGCTTCTTCATGCAGCTGGGCATTTTTTTTTCTCTCTTGGCCAAGGCTTTCTGGACAACTTGGGGATTCGGCAGTCAGCTTGCTACACCAGGAATCTTGCCGAGACCTCCAAACCCCGCGTCTGGGTGCACAAACTGGCTGACTCCAATTAAGATTTATTCGTACAGGGGCACTGCTAGGAGCCCAGCCTCCTGCCACCAGGCGTGCCACCCACACAGGTTTTTGGGACTCTGTCTCCGTGTCTATTTTCTCCAATTCCTAAAGAGCCCCAATACTCAAAATACTACTGGAACTTCTCAATCCTTAACCGCAGAATAACCCAAAAGCTCAATGACCTCCACATACATCCCTACACAGTTCTTCTCCTGGAGACAGGGGACCGCCACTGCGTTCGTCCACGTTCTTTACAAGTTTACAATCGCTTGGGATTTCTTTCGCGCTCCCAAGTCAGCTGCGATGCCCCGGCCGTGCTGCGTGGAGCAACGCGGTCTCTCCAGCTACGCGCAGCGCCGCGCCTTTTCGTTTGCTCTAGGTTTGGTCCAAAAGCCAACTCCTCTGTTAGCGAGCAGCTTTGGAGGAAACATAACACGCAAATAGACGAAAAGGACGTTTTCCAGACCTACCTTTGCTCATATCCGACTTGCTGTTGGGAAACCTGCTTTGCCTTTTCCCTACGGAACTGCCCGAGTTTCTTCAGCAGAGGGAGCTCAAGCTTTTCCTTCTCTCCCCCCCC